CTTCTTAAAATTAAGAACATAATTCTAAGTTGTGAATGAGTTGTAAATTTTACTACGAATATCTCAAAGTGTGAGAATGTTTAACGAAGATACAAATGACTCCACCTAAGCAAGTAACAATTGGTCTTACAATAGTCAATTGTATTTTCATAGACTATACACTTAATACTATCACGTATCATTTTCCAATTCACGAGTTATAAATATGCAACATATGTGACGGTAGTACAATAGAACTGAAATTTTTTTTTTTTTTCAAAAATGTTTTTCTTTATAATGACAAGGTAGAGATTTTGAAAATCATAGTGATAGAAATAAATTAAAGACCGTCGTTCTAACCCCAAGAAAGTAGAACCAATATTTAGTTAAAGGGTTAAAATGGGCAATTCTTTTGATCTTAATGTTATCACAAATATAGTATTAAAGAGCCAAAACTATAAAGGAAGTCCTTTCAGGATCAAATTATGGATTATGCATATGAATATCAATAGTGAGATTATATATAGATTCTGACCTAGAGTTACAAGCCTCTAAAATCTAAGTGAATTTTTAAAATAAAATATAAGCCCGATGGGCCTATTGCTTGGTTGTCAAAGGTTTTTTATGATGTCCTTTTTGATGTTTAGCTTATTATTATTATTTTAAAAAAAGTACTTTTGAGAATTGAGATGAAATTCAGAGGCAAAAAGAGATTTGATGGAGAACTAAAAAATCTTAATGTTGTAGTTTAATTACATTCATCAAATAATTTTTTAAAAGTTAATCAGTGAGTTTTGAGCCGAACTCAGGGCATTCATTATGGAGGGACAACATAGACAAAAAGTACATGCAAGTTTATAAAATCAAGAGTTGAGATGAGAATTGCATTGATAGTAAAATTATATTAGAAAAATTAATGTGAGAAGTAGAGTAAAAACAGAGTCGAGAATAGTAGTTGAAGTATATAATGGATCTACCTGGCGATAAGAGTGGATGATAGCAAGTAAGTGTTTGTGATGATTTTTTATGGATGAGAATTAATGATTAATGATAAGGATAATTATAGAGGGTCGCAGTAAAGGAAGAGAATGTCTTTCAAAGAAGTGAAAGTGTTTGTGATATATATATATATATATTTGTGCGAGATAATATGCATGCAAGTGATCATATAAGACTGTTGATCGCTAAAGTACTTCGCGGTCACCATGACTTTTCCTGACCTATAGGCAATCATCGAAAGATAAACTAATCTTTAGTTCTTAAGCCAATGTTTCATTTTTTCTAATCATTTTATGTGTTCAGAGAGCCATTCCCCTTGACACCCAAGACTAATTAACTAAGAGACAATTCACTATATCTATTTTTTCTAGATATTCTAAGTCAAATTGCATTCGAGGAGTCGGTTTCATAATAGGTTCTAGATCGACTTAGTGTTGTGGAAATCTCTTCAAAACCTCATAACTAAATTTGGTTATATGACTTATATTCTTATTTTAGTCAGAGTTCAAAAAGATATTTTGTGAATCAGATATCTTATATTAGCGTATCTTAGCGAGGTAGAGAATTAATATATTTTATTTATTATAATAAGAATTGAAGTTCGTTGTTTACACTAAAGTAGTAAAATTAATAAGTGCGGAAAGTAAATGAAATGAGTGGTGAAAGTACTACTCGTTTCATAAATGTCTCCAACCACCTGCATTACACGCCTTGGAGCTCTTACAACTTGAGTTTCTCTGAAACCATTGTGTTTTTTAGAATTTGGGCATTGGTAGAAATGATATAAAACGACCCTCTATCTGGCAGAGCTTCTAGATGATTCTCAGCCGTTCAATCTAGCATATGCAAATATGGATGGTCGATATTCCTTTTATAAGGGTCAAATATAAAACCTTTGAAGGGAAAGACAAGTGAGTGTTATTTCATTCTGCAACTGACCTAACAATCTCTGTCTGGTTGTCTTCAAGCGCGATTACTCCCATTGCGATCTGACAACAAGACCTCAGAATCACCGATCTATCAGACTTTTCAGCACAATATATTTTTCTAAAATTTCTTCCAAAACGAGACTGAAAATACTCAAAAATACCCAAGTATATTAAATTATACAAAAATTAAGTAAAAACATATTTACCTAGATAATTTGATACAAGTAAGCACAAATTTAGTCAAAATCCCCACATATGCTTATGAAAATTGCTATGAGAATATACCCAAAATCAGTATTATAAGTTTTCTAGTTATCAAGGCTACAGAAAGACTGTAATGATTTTTTTCTTAAACTTTTTTTTTAGTCTAAAATCACCTTCATTAGATAGTTCATCTTCATTGCTACTCTATAAATCTTGAGATACACCAAATAAATGATAAACCTGATATCTTGAATAGTGATTTAGAGAAAAATATTTACATAAAAAACTTGAAAGGTTTGTAGTATTGAGAGAAGATAAGGTGTGATCCTAAATAGTGGTACTTAAAGCATGACAAAAACATATTGTTAAATTATTGTAGATACAATAAGTGTAGCAAATGCATTTACTACAAAATTAATACTAACAAGTTTATGTTAGTTTTCCAATATGTAGTTGACATGTTGATTATGAGCATTGATCAAAAATTCAATTTTGAAATCGAACGCATGTTGAAGTCATATTGTGATATGAAAAACATGGTTTAGCCCATGCGATCCTTGGAGTCAAAATTATCAAGAGTCTAAAATGTTATTCCCTTCGTCCCAAACACCGCGCAACGTTTTCTTTTTGGTATGTCCCAAACACCCTACAACATTTCTAAATTATGAAATAATTAATTATATTTAATCTATATCCCCACACTTTATCTCATCACATCACCCTTATAAAAAAATAAAATATACACCTCCCTCTCCATGACATCACCTAATTACTCAATTATCCTACTTAATACTTTTCACCTAAAATCTCGTGCCCAACTTAAATGTAGCACCTTGCTTGGGACGGAGGGAGTATAATTTAACATACTCTCAGTGTTGAAAAAGTGCAGAAAAAATTCAATGCCTATAATGGTCATCTGGTCAAAATCCCATTTGAAAGTAGCGTGAAATAGAGAAAGAACAAGGGAGGCCTTGTTGCTCAAGGCGAATATTATGCAAGAATCATTGAAACTTTAATACTTCTAATGAATAATACTAATCTTGACCTAATGTGAAATTGAAAAAGAATGAGGGATGCTTTGTTGCTCGAGGCGAGTATATGCAAGAATCATTGACCTTGCATGCTAGGAGTAATACCCCATATTTTGAAATAAATAAATAATATTATTATAAATAAATATTTTGATAATATTAATGAAAAAAAATTAGTATTATGGAATAAATTTTCTTCATATTTGGTATATTGATTATAATTATAAAAAAAATTGTATAAAAAAAATAGCAATACGGATAAGTATTCGAATTTTTTTTTATTAATATTACTATTTTTTGTAATATTATTATTATATTATTGTTGATGTATTTTTTCAACAATAAAAAAGTAAAATCCGAAAATAGGAAATATCTTCGAATTTGATATATTTAGCGCCTGAGATTAGGATCTAAACACTGTACGGTACATAAATAAACTGGGAAAATAAAACTACAAACTGAAAAATAAAGTGGTGATCCCCAAAAGCAATTCTCTTGAATTTGATGTCGATTGAAGATGATTGAAGATTAAAAATCCGCATCCTTAAATATTCCTTCAAGAAAACGTTTTAGAACCGTCGCCTGGTTGGTTACAGCAACCGCCCACTAATTCCTCCTTTATTGACACGTGTCTTTAATCGTCTCGCCAAACGCTTCCAACAGTTCCAGAACTCAACTTGCCCGACCGACCATTCCAAAGACTAACTGGTCGCTAGACCAAACGACTCCTTGGTCGCCCCATCAAACGACCACTCTCTGGTCTTTCCAGACGATTCAATGATCGCCCCAACCAAGCAACTGAACTACTATTCACTCAATGGAGGGAAAACCCTCTATTCGTCCCGACGACAACACCACATCATTTGACGGCCCTTCCAACAGTACAACCGGCTACGTTCCCGTAGGTAACAGCGACCTATCCGCAATGAAGAATGAGACGGACGATACGAGGTCGGACAAGAGACCAGATGGTGGTCGCTTGGTGGGGCGGCCAAGGATTTGTTTGGTTTAGCGATCAGTTAGTCTCTGGATTGGTCGGTTGGGTTATGCGGTTGGCGAGACGGTTACCGTAACCGACCAAACGACGTTTCAAAATGTTTCGTTGTGGGCGGTTGACGGCGGTTGCTGGCGACAGTTCCGAAACATCTCTTCTGAGGAATATTTAAGAATTGGGGTCAGCAACTGGCAAAGTATCTTCAATCATCTTCAAACGACAACAAAGTCAGTGATTTGGGAATCATCATTTAATTTTCAGTCCGTAGCATTTATTTTCCAGTTTATTTATGTACTGTATAATATTTAGAGTTTCCTAATCTCAGCACTAATTATATCAAATTCGAAGATAATTTTCTATTTTCGGATTTTACTTTTTATTGTTGAAAAAATACATCAACAGTAAATTACTCACATATTATTACTATAGTATCTTTTAATTTTTATATAAATTAGAAATATATAACTATGTATACAATTAATTTATATCTAAATACAAAAACAAAGTAAATCAAAATAATATTACTTTTTGTCCGACTCCTGTGTCTCATTTATTTTTTGGGTGTTTGATATTTGAATATTAATTATCATAATACAAATTAAAAAAATACAAATATAAAAATATTTTTAATATAAATATAATGATACAAAAAATAAATACAATCCTTAAGACAAACCAAGACAATATTTTATATTTTCATTTAAAAATAAAATTTTATTATTTTTTAATCTATTATAAAATTGAATATAACTTTTATTGATTGGAACAAAGAAAATACTACTATTATTTAGAGCATGAAAAAGGATATATAACACTGACTAAATTAAATTAAAGAGCGTGGGCCAAGGCAGCATTCATTAGAAATGTTGGATCAAATCGGTAAACAGTTGAGATTGCTGACGACTAAGCTGGCAGGGAGAACAGCTGAGCTGGGAGGGAGGGATAAGAAACCCCACCGCTCACCGGGGAGGAGAAGACTACTATTCCACTATTCTACTTTTCATCCATTTCCAATAATACTCCCCCGTGGTAATGATTTTCTAAGTTTCAACTCCCAATTGGGTTTCGAGTTGATCATTTCAGGCGCAACGATTTTTCATAAACTTTCGTATATTAATTTGGTATCAGATCTGAAGTGAGTCCAGTCCAGGTGTATTCTTCCCCTCTCACCCAGCAGTTTTCTTGCCGGTAATGTTTTTAGCTTTATAGTTATCCTTTAAGACTTGTCTTTCTAGATTATATCCTCCTGGGATTCGTGAAATTTCCACTTTTTGACTCAGGAGAAAGTTCCCTTTTGATGGACGGGTTTTAATTTCTTGCGAAACCTTCTGAAAGTGCGATTCTCTGATTGATAATTCCAATGAGAAATGGCGTGCGAAGCCGTACAAACGTGGAGCCTGATCGGCATAGCCGCTGCATTTCTTGATCTTGCAATAGCATACTCGTTGCTGTGTGCATCAGCGCTAGCTTTCTTCGCATCCAAGTTTCTGAGCTTCTTTGGAATGTCCTTTCCATGCCTTTGTGATGGAGTCTTTGCCAACATCTGGAGCAGGAGTTTCTGCTTGAATAGTCTCTTATTTAAATTCCCAAGTGAAATAGTATCGCATGTCTTTATATCAGTTAAGGAGAATTTCCCCTTTCAAGATTCCATTACAAGAAAGTGCAATCATAGTACTCTTGGTGAATTGTGTGTGACTGAGGTTCTTGAAGTGGATGGTGAGGCATCTTGTAGTTCTCTATCCGATGCAAGGAAGCCAGTTCAAGGGATTAGGATTAGGGAGTTAAGCGCTAGGACTGAGAAATATGATCTAAAGGGGAAGGGGGTTGTTGGTCATAGACCAAGAAGTCGCTTGCGGCAGCGACGAAAATGGGGTGGTGGTATTGGAACCTGCTATCCTCCGGTATATGAAGTGGCAGGAGCCGGGGAGCCATATTCTCATTCTACGGAAAATGGATTGGTTGGAGGGATCTCATTGATGGGTGATAATGATAACTTTGAAGGTGAGTTTTTAATGATCTTTGAAGTCTTGGTTTTTTTCTTGTCTGGCTGTGTATAACTAAGCTGATTGGTTTCCGGGCTTGTGCTGCCGTTTAAGTTGTCGAAGCTAATGACATTGATAAATGCATATATGTCACATGGTGCGGGAATGAAATTAAACGCCTTCATCATTTCTTTTGAGATTGTTATAAAACAACTGAACTTTATTTTCTGAAGGACTTTATATGCTGTATGTATTTGGGCTTCAAATTTAGTTAGATTATTTATCTTTTATTTGCATTTGAAAGTTTTATTTGAACTAAACTGTTGAAAGAAGAAAACTAAATCGTCTGTTCCTACTGCTCTCTTTTTCCTCATGTGTTTGACAGCAATTAATCTGAAAACTAATCTAAGAAATCCTTCATAGCGCCTTGTCGTAGCATTCCTCTAATCATGGTTCTATTTGATCTTGATAATCCAAATGAATGAAGAGAGAATTAGAAATCTAGAAAATGTAGGCTGGTTTTCATTTATTAGATTCTCCTGTAATTAATTATTTTTCCAAGCACATATCAGTGCATACTAGTGTAGGTGAACAAATATATAATCAATGAAATTACAATATGTATGAACTGAAATTGTTTTCAATTTTGGATGTATAATTTAAGGTGTGTTTTTTGTGCAGTTAAATAAAAGGCTGTACATGGTTGTAAAAAATATTTGCATTCATATTGGGATTTGATGTATCTTTGTAAAAGATTACGTTGATCATGAATAATTTTTAAGATGCAACTGTAAATTTTTAAGATACACTAATTTTGAGTTGCTAGATATTTGAGGAAATTATTGTTGGCCAGTTGTTGCATATTAGGTGTGAAGGTGTTCTTTAATGGATGACTTTTGGGGCTGTAAAATATTAGCCTCATTCTAGATAATTATTAGGTTATGTACTTAATCAAGATGTTTTTGTATAGTAACATTCGATTATGCTAAAAATATATATCTTGGATTACTGATGTTTTGGTACATATAATCAACTTGGCATCTGGTACAGGGTAGAATGTGTAAATGCATTTACGATATTCCATTTTTATGAAGGATAGCGAAGACGCCACCAAACCCAGTGGCGTCTTAGGCATTATTTCTCTATCAATAACCGTTGCATTACTTGTTATGCATAATATCTTCTGTAATGAAAAATACTGGGCATCACATGCTTGCCACAAGATGAGATGTGAGACCATACAGTTCTTGTGGTAGGGCTGTGTGTTCTTGTAAGAAATATCTTCAGAAGTTGAAATTTATGCATGCTTGAACTTATTTCTATAATAATTGATAATTTGGAAAACATTTGAAAGGATTGATTTGACTGCTCATATGAACAACATGCACTTTTCTCTTCAGGGGATTACTACTAACAATTTTAAGTTAAATGCACTTCTCTAAAGTAGTTTTAGGATTGGTGACCATGAGTGAGATCAAAGTATGTCCATGTTAATTTGTAGCCCAATCTATGACTGCAACGATGGCGAAGTTGGAATGTTAAAGATTGTACGGAATCTTGCCCGCGACTACGGCCAGTGGTTGGGTTAAGCTGTCAGCTGCCTAACAGACCAAAACTTTGTGGGGCTAGTTAGCGATTGAGATGCAATAAGGACGTTGCATTCTTGAAGTAAACGTTGCATTCTTGAAGTAAAATAAAATTGTTGAATGAGGATTAAAAAGACTAATTGTCTCACAAGGTGCATCTTTCTTTTTGAAAAGTTCACCACTAACAACTCCAAATATAAATGTATCTCTGAAATAGTTTAAAGCGGGGTGAACCTAGGCAAGTTGTCCTTGAGTAGGACAAAGCACGTAGAAAAAAGCCATGGTTATATTTGGAGCTAGTCTGCAATCACACAATATATCCGGTTTCACTGCAGTGAAGCCAGCATGTTACAGTTAGTTGGAACATTGTTCAACTATAAATTCAGTTTTATTTTGCCGAATGTTTTTTGATGTAATGGTTATATTGTTTGGGATTATCATGCAGCTATGTGCTGATGCCATTTAGGTTTGTATTTAATATAGGTGATGATAAAGCTTCTTCAACACTGGGATTAACGAAAGCAATAGCCGATATCTTCACTAACCCAAAAACACCATCTAGTGATCAACTACAAAATGATCAACAAGAAGTTCAAACGTTGAGTGGAGGGGAGAAAAATGTAATAAGATTGTTAGAAGGACGACTTGAAGAAGAACGCATTGCCCGTGCCGCGCTTTATGTTGAGCTTGAAAAGGAGAGAAACGCTGCTGCTACCGCTGCAGATGAGGCCATGGCTATGATTCTGCGTCTGCAAGAGGAGAAGGCAGCCATTGAAATGGAAGCTCGGCAATATCAGAGGATATTAGAAGAGAAATCTGTGTATGATGCTGAAGAAATGACTATTCTTAAAGAAATCCTCATTCGAAGGGAGAAGGAGAACCACTTTCTGGAAAAGGAAGTCGAGGCATATAAGCACATGGTTTCCGCAGGAGGTGAACAAAATACACGAGATTTTGAGGCATGTGATGATCAGGCTCTGATTCCTCGTCAATTCATTGGATTCACTGAGAAGAGTATAGCGGTGGAAAAAAGGTTGTCAGATAGCAATGTTTCTATTGAGAAACCAACTACTAAGCTATCCTCTGTCAATGAAAGTTCCCTTTTCAAGAAACAAAGAGACTCAGATGAGCAATCATTTTGGATGTCTGTTTGTAATGGTTCAGGGAACATGGATCTTCAGGAGAAGCAGATTATATCCGTAGGTAACAACTTGCCCTTGTCGGTGAAAGCAGCCTCTTTTGGAGGGAAGGAACTTGATCAAAATCAGGATTTTGACGCAGGGCATAAACTGGCTGAGAAGGTAATTGTAAGCTGCCATAGAACTGAGGCAGATAATGGGCTTGGTTGTACGAGTTCAATGCAGGAGGCAGAAGAAGGCACTGGGTTCAATAATTCGAGTGATTCAACCTTAGACAAAGACTTTTGGGTCCATGATGTTCACATTGATGGAGTCAACCTTAATGCAGATGCAAGTAATCTGCTTTTAGTCGAAGATTTCTCAGGAGTTAACGAGAGAAATTCTGCCACAGTTGAAGAGGCTGGGGCGACGGGGATTGAATCGATTGACGTAGTTGATTTTCCAAGTTCCAGTGGTGTGAGAAAAACCAATTCAGAAATAACTTGTGCAGTTCCATTGGTTGGTCCAAAGGACCCATCTTTACCCCTTGAAATGCGTCAAGGTTATGCAGCTCCGGTGGAACGAGAAATGGTGAAGATAAAGAGTGAAGTTGGATGGCTTCATGAAAGACTGAAGCTTGTTCAGGAAGGTAGAGATAAACTTAGCCTCTCGGGGGAGAATAAAGAAAGGGAAAGCTTAGAGTTGATGCTTTTGGAGGATATTGCACACCAGGTTGAGGAGATCCGGCACATAACTGAGACTGGGAAAGCTGCAAGACAAGTTTCTTTGCCCCTCCTGAGCGCTAAGGTACCACGATAGTTAAGCTTTTGCCAAGTTGCAGTAATACCTAAGTAAATAGTATCTTCTCTGTGATGTATAACTAGTTTGTGTTGATTCCTTAATAATAAAATCAGTTGATGAACGATTTGTATAACCGAAAAAATAGAAGGCTGCCTTTGTTTTAGTGATGCCATTTGTGAATGGATATATCACACAAGGTGAGATGCTTATCGGCAATGTCTAATTTCAAAAGCAATTTCTTTGACATGGCAATGCCATGAGGACTGAGGAAATGGCTTAGAAAGTGTTTTTTTTCTTTTTTTTGGTTGGGGTCAGGCATTAGAGAATCTTCTTAATTCCCAAATTATTTCACCAATTTTGTTGTAGATGTAAATGTGATATATTTCATTGAGCCTCAATGGGGGATTTACAATACAATGCTGTGATACTTTGCTTTCCTCTGCCATCTGAATACGATATTGTTCAGATGCTTAATTAACAGTAGAAGGCTTGATAATTCTAACAGTAATTTTTCCATTAGGCTGCCTCGAAGAAAAGGAGGAGCAGAAGTGTGTCGTCAGGATTCCAGATAAGTTCCGAAGATACACCATAATTGCTTGAGGGACAAATATTGCTCTATGGTTGAAGTAAAAGTGATATGGCATTTATAATCTTTTTCATTTCCAGGGTAATACCCAATCTAAAATTATAGAGTATGGTTGGATCAGACTGTGCATCGGAAGTTAGAAAATAACTGCATTACAGCCTGAATGAAGCAGCACCAGCAGGTAAGTAAAGGGCGTTTCAGTGTAATGTTTATTGTTTGTTTGCTGTAGTGTAGTGTAGTGTAGAGAACAGACTCAGAGCTGCAGCCTCAACTTTGTATATATGTTTGTCTGTCGGTCTACGAAGTTAAATTAGAATAAATATCCCCATAAATAAATGTTGTTTTTCTTTGATCATCGATCCCGCAATTCAATTGCCATATATATAAATCTTTTGTTGTTCTGTTTGGTAAGAATCCATTTGTATTGACTAGCATTATATTTCCATTGGAGTTAGCATTAGCCTTAGCATTAGAATGATTGCAGAGTCTTTCCAGTTTTTTACTGTTTCATGGTACAATTGATGACTGCAGACAAGGAGCCAACAAGCTGGGTTTGAACTCAGGTTCGTTAAGGTTTGAGCTTTGCTTGTGTTCGATAAATGAGAGTTATGAGTTAGAAAAATATTATTTAAGATTAGATAGTCAATTATACAAACCCTTCAGCTCATGATACGAGCTAAAAATGTTTGGTTTGGATTTAATATAGGTTGTGTTTTGTTCGCGAATTTCCTCTGATTTATATGGTAGAATACTGCGAATTTTGGGGTTTAAAAATCCTACTTCAAACTCTCCTCTCCTAATTCCTTTCACCCTACACATGCACAAATGTCTTGTCAGACAGAGTTGTCTTGAGGAATTAGATATAAAATAATTGAAATAGTTTCTTCAATTTAAAAATGTTAATTTCTTTTTTATTATTTTTCTATAAAATAAATCTGTTTCTACAGTATTAATAAAATATTTATTTTTAAATTATAAAATACAATTTAATATTAACCCATCAAATCAATATTTATATTTAACTTTTAAACTAATTTAATAATATTAAATATTCTATTATCTCAAAATATCACATTAAAATTTCAATTTAATCAATAAAATAATAATAATTTTCAATATAATCATTACAAAATTGAAAACTCCAAACAAAAATACTTGCAAAATCCTAAAAAATCCAAATTCAAAATCCAAACTTCCAAACAAATACACCCTAATATTAGTCAATAATTTTTTTGAGTTTGTATAATAGATTAACAGTACTTTGAAGTGATTTTTATGAATAATATACTCTTCAATTCCATTTGGGTTCGACACGAGAGTTAACAAATACAAATAATAATATTGTATTGAAATAGGATATACAATAGATAGTAAAATATTAAAATATCTTTAAGAGTACGTTGGTATAAAAAGTAACGATATTTATGTAATAATACTGAAAAAATAGGGTAGTTTTACAGTAATAATAGTCATTAATGGAAATGAGATCAACAGACGAAAATGAAAAAAATAGAACTATTGTTTTGAGATAAAGAGAATATATGTTTCTTTTGAAAAATGGACTTCGATGGCCGATTGAGTTGGGCAGTCAGAAAGTCTCAACAATGGGTTTCTTGGCCTACTCAAAAGAGCATCCAAGTTCGATCTCGCATCGATAATTGGAGATGTACGAAAGAAATAAAATTACAGGAATTTAAGGTAAGAATAATGCTGAAAATTAAGCATTTGAATTGTTGGATAACTTTTAATTGTCTAAAATTATGGAGAGAAATTCCATTAAATTTCTTCAACAATCTTATAATCTTCTCCAACAAGTTAACTACTCCTTACCTAATTTCTTGAGCCTCAATTCCGATGGGTTTGATGGATATCACTTTTGAACTCGCTGTTGAGGCCGTAATCCTTAACTCGTGGGTTGCAATATGTTAGGTCTTTTTTTGACGTGTTGGACTGGCGTTGATATCGCTGGACTTCTACTTTAATGCATGTGGGTTTCATTGGACCTCGCTCAACACGGTTGACCTTCCTTGACACGGTCGTTCGGTATTGCTGGACTTTGTCATATAACACATCATCGATAGAAACGTTGCGAGGTAAGGGTAACAATATATTTTTTAGAACCGTGCACAAAAGTTATTATTGGAAACCAAAAACTAAAAATAAAATAAAACCTTGAGGTCATCGTGTTAAATATTTTCTTTTGTTCGTGTTCACTCAGTCTGTTAAACAATTTTTCGTTTTTCATTTAAAATTTAAATTTAATAAATAAATAAAATTATTAATTTGATTTTAAAATAATATAAAAATTAGAATTAAGTAAAATATTATGAAATTAATACGATTGATGAAAGGACGATGTCCTACAGTAATCAATGAAAAAGAGATGACCAATTTAGTGGTCTGCAATATGCATGTTCGGTTGAGAGAGTCACTCACTGCTCACGGTGTGGAAGATTTGACAAGTCTCGCATCCAAGGCAGGGAGGTTAGGATCCCTTTTTAGAGAAAATGATCACGACTTCCGTCAAGGGGGAAGTGCTGAAGAAATGATAGTGCAAGATCGACCAACGTGCAGGCCACCACCAGTCCGCGATAAATGGAGGTCGGGTCTAACGTAGCCTTGGACGATGGAGGTCGGATCCAAGGCTGACGTAGCCTCGGATGTTGGCCTGCGAACTCTTAAACATCACAAGTGACGTTTAGGAGTCTTGCGGAGGAGGCATATTGTTGAGCACAAAAAATAATAATAATAATTAATAATGGCAGTAGGATTCTGGATGGGTCTGAATATAAGCCAAACGGCCCAGAGGTCGGTTGAAAGAGGAAGTCGGGCGAAGAAGGAGATCAGATGGTACGCAGTTGGATAAACAGGTCAGTTGGTTTGCAGTCTGACCAAAGGAAGTTGGTCGGTTGGTCTGCAGCCCGACCAAATTAAGTTGGTTGGTTGGCCCATGGACGGGCCAAGGTAAGACGGTATGGTAGCAGAGTCAAAAGGAAGTCGGTTGGACCAGCCGTCCATCTAAGGAGATAAGGCGACTAGAGGATGTTGTTTCGCCGTCGGTTGATCCACGGTTGGTTGGTTCTCAGTCGGCTGATCTGCGGTCGGCTGGTTCTCAGTCGGTTAAATACGTCGGATGGTCCAAAGTCGGTTGAGCAGGTCGGGCGGTCCGCAGTCAGTTGAGTCGGACGACACAGAGGTTGGTTGATATGGAGGTCGGTTGATACGGCGTTCGGACCAAGTGAGGTCGGGCGAAAAAGAATGAGATGGACGATATGTGGTCGGACAAGAGACCGAATGATGGTCGCTTGATGAGGCGGCCAAGGAATCGTTTGATCTAGCGACCAGTTAGTCTCTGGATTGGTCATGTGGCACATAGGTCAGGCGAAATGAAGTCGGGCAAGAAGGGACATGGCAGTGGATATGCAGGTCGGACGAAAGGCATTTTTGGGACGGTTCAAGTCGTGAGAGGCAGTTCTGGGGCAGTTGGAGGAAGTTGCAACCGGCGAATGAGGTCGGACCTGGTCGGGTCAAGCTTAAAGGTCGAGCGTAATAAGGTCGGACACGGAGGTAAGACGGTATAAGGTCGGGACTGAAGGTCGGGTGCGGTAAGGTCGGACAATGAGGTCGGACCTGGTCGATCCAAGCTTAAAGGTCGGGCGCAACAGGCCGAATTCGAAAGTCGGGTATGGTAAGGTCTGAAGATGATGTAGGATAAGGTCGGACATAACGAGGTCGGGCAGTGAAGTAGCTAATGTGCAGGTCGGGTGAGAGAGCAGTTTCTGATAATGGAGGGAAGTTTTAACTGGTGAACGGTTTTTGAAGATTTGACTTGGTGAGTCGGTTGACACACGTGTCAACAGAAGAGAACTTTTGGGACGGTTGACAACAGTTATTGTAACCGACCAGCGGTTCGAACCGTTTCTTTCAAAGGTTTTAAATAGGTCTGTTCTTGACCTAAGAAACCATCTTCAATCGACATCAAATTCAAGAGAATTGCTTTTGGGGATCACCACTTTATTTTCCAGTTCTGTATTTTTATTTTTCCTATTTTATTTATGTATTTTACCGTATTTAAAGATTCCTAATCTCAGGCACTAACTATATCTAATTCGAAGATAATTTTCTATTTTCGAATTTTACTTTTTATTGTTGAAAAAATAATTCAACAGGTATATATATTAGGAAGGAGTTATACTTATAAAGATGTAATGAATAAAGAAGTGACGGTGATCACACTCGAGACATTTCAGTGAGGATTCGGTGGGTATGTTAGTACTTGACCGTAAGGATTAAAAATGGATAACCGGATTCACAACTTAAAATATTATTTGCTAGCAAAGTCATTGTTACTTGGCATCAATGTGATCTTTTGTACATCACCTATGTTTCTTGAATTTTTATTTAACTAGTTCATTGTTTATTATCTGTGTTTTGTCTCTCTTTAGTATAAGCTGAATTTTTCTTTCAAGATTGATAAGGTTACCATCACTATCATTGCTGCTTTGGTACGGACCACCGAGACACCATCTGTCTCATTTAATTATATCACGTTCTTTTTAGCATGGTTATTAAAAAAATATATATTAAAAAATTAATTATTTTGAGTTTCTTAAATATGATAGTTGTAATATGATGATATATTTTATTTATTTAATATTTTATGAATAAATTAAAATAGATATAAATAAATTTATTGCAAATATTTTTAATAAATTATTGGTGTAAGTATTTGAAACAATATTAAAAATTGAAAAAATTAAATTTATATTTAAATTATGTGTAATAAATTATTATTTTAATTTTTTAAAATATAAATTAAAGATTTTTGTATGTGGTTAGATTTTTCCCAAAATTTTAACTATTCATAAATTTTTCCTCTTGACAATAAGTTAAACTTCTATTTTTTATTTTTATATTATAAAAATATTTATATATCCAGAACATCAATATCCAATACTTATTCAAATTAAAAAATTACTAATCAAAATTTCAATTTAAAATTCAAATCCAAATTTTCAATCAAACACGCGGTTAGTATTATATATTGTTTAAAATGTTAAAGTTATTTTGATTTTTATTTTTAAAAAATAAGTTCGGTCCGGCTCCACTTGAGTTGCATTTTCAGATCATACTCATTTTTATTTATTCTAATTAAAATTTTATTAAAAATAGGGGTGGTTTAGTATGACATACCAAAAATTTCGAGTCATATCATATACCATTCCGAAACTTTCGGTATCTTAAGAAACATACTAATATCGTAACGAAAAATCAGCATAGTAAAAATTCGGTAACAAATTATACATTGTACCGTACTGATAATTTGGTATAGCGAAAGTATCGGTATATATATTTCATACTGAAATA